TGGTCACCCCCATTCTGTGCTGGGGAGGTTCCATGCCTGGCCCCTGCAGCCACCCAGGAGGTGAGGAACCCTGGGGCAGGAAGGAGGGCGCGGGCCGGCCCCGGCCCCTCCCCTTCCAGTGTGCAACCCCACTCCTCTTGCATAACATGGTTTGGGGTTCCAGGCGCAGGATGGCCAGTGGGGCTGTGAATGCTGTGCCCCAGTTTGGAGATGGGGTCTCAGGCTTGTTCCCCACACTTGGGATCCCCAGAGAGCACATGCTCCACTCCTGGAGCAGGGGGAGGGGATGGAGGACCAGCGAGGTGGTGGGGTCACAAGAGAGAAGAGTGGGGGACAAGGAAGAAATGCTGCAGGCCCAGAGAGGGCACTCCTGGGTACGGGGAAGGCAGGGCCGGCGGAGGGCAGCCCTCTAGGCTTCGAGCTCCTGGCCTGACCCAGGAAGTTGTGTGGGGGCCTGCGCCCCGACAAGTTCTCTCCAACCTGATCCCCAGGGTCTGGCCTCTCCCGTTACCCCAGCACCCTGGTGCTCTGGGGTCTTGGTCTCCAGTGCTGCTGTAACACACGTACACGTGGGAGGCTGAACAACCAGCAATTTATCTTCTCACAGTTTAGGAGGCTCCGAGTCCAGATTCAGGGCGCCAGCTCTAGGGGAAAGCTTTCTGTCTCTGTGGAATTGGTTCCCATAGCAACCGTGTGCACAACAGAAGGAAACACTGCTGGCCCTGCCCCACTTCACCATCACTGCTCTGAGCCCGTCATTGCAGCCACTGGGCCGCTCCCCCGCTCACTGAAGGTCTCCCCCTTTTTTGCTGACCCTCTATTTTCCATTCCAGGGCCAGTCAGGGGGTGCTCACACCTCAGGGTGTCCCAGAGCAGTGACTCACCTGTGTGCATCGGTGGGGCCATTTCCTGCCAACAAGAAATGAATCGTGGTGAATCATGGTGTCCAGAGCCTTGACTCAGGACCCAGATACATGGAAAATGCCACCACTTTCTGTGCAAAGTTTACTTCGAGACCCAGAAAAGAAAGTTGTAGCCAGAAAAGGCTGATTCTTCAGTTACATGAGAACTGAAAAGGTTCAAGCAAGGAGGTTTTGGCTAGACTATTTTGGGCCCCTGAGTCAGGGTTGTGTTCTTTGGGACAGAATGTCTGCACTCAGAGGGGATTCTCGCCTTTAACGGCTCATGGCCGACGGTGCTCACAGCATTTAGTGAATATGTCAGCTGTCACTTCTGCATAAATAAACAGGAGGATGTGGGAGCTGGCTGCACATCAGAGATATTTTTAGGCCTGGACAGCTTTGGGAACTGGGAGGATAACGTTTCGAGGAGAGAGTGCCTGATCCCAGAATAGCCCACTCGTTCAGCCTCCCCAGAGGGCCCGGTGTCATGGCTTCCTGGGACAGGGGCACCTTCCCATTCTGGTGGCCAAGCCGGAGATGGCAACACCTCCTTCTGAAGATAGCTCTACCTCTCAGGCCGCAGGGACAGGGGAACGTCTTTCGTGATCAGTTGCCCTGATGTGGACTGCCCCACGGTGGTCCCGTGCATGACAGACCTCCAACCTCCCAGTGAGCATATTGACCGCACCACCCAGGGGGTCTGGGGTGAAGAAAGGGGGCTGTTAACTCAGCTCACTACAGAGAGGAAGGGGCTGGGTACAGAGATCCAGGGTCTCCCTGCAAACCCACCCAGCAGAGAGGCCTTGACTCACCCTTCCCAGGTCAGAGGAGGGAGCAAGGCCAGGGCTTTGCTCAATGGAAGGACAGACACATGGCGGAGGGTGGCTTCCTTTCCAACATGGACTTTTTTATTTCTTAAAACCTTTACTGGAGCGTTTGCTATGTGCTGAGTACTATAAAAAATAATATAAAACCCACTGCCATTGAGTCAATTCCAACTCACAGTGCCCCTAGAGGACAGAGTGGAACTGCCCACAGGGTCTCCAAGGCTGTCAATCTTCAGGGAAGCAAAGTCCAAACCACACCCACTGCCTGGAGTCCCTTCTGACCCACAGCGCCCCTAGAGGACAGAGTGGAACTGCACCAGAGGGTCTCTAAGGCTAATCTTTACAGAAGCAAAGCCCAAACCACACCCACTGCCGTGGAGTCCATTCCAACCCACAACGCCCCTAGAGGACAGAGTGGAACTGCACCAGAGGGTCTCCAAGGCTGTCAGTCTTCACGGAAGCAAAGCCCAAACCAAACCAAGGGTCGGGGAGTCTATTACAATTCACAGCGCCCCTAGAGCACGGAGGAGAACTGCCCCAGAGGGCTTCCTAAGATGTCATATTTACAGAAGCCACTGCCTCATCTTTCTCCTGAAGAGCTGATGGTGGGTTCGAACCAGCGACCTTTTAGGTATCAGCTGGATGCCTTGACCACTGGGCCACCGTAGCTTCTTGAGTACTATTCTGGGCACCGAGATTACAGATGTGAACAAAATGGACACAGACCCTGTCTTCTCACACCCACTGAACAAGGTCAACACGTAGCACTGTACAGTCAGATGTGTTAATGTGCTGCAGAGAAAGTCCAGTGGCGGGGGGTGAGAGGCTGGGGGGCTGGATTGGTTGTGTCTTCGTGTCTTTGGGCTGACGGAACAAATGACCACAAGGCAGGTGAACGATGGCAGTGCGTTGTCTCACTGTTCTGAAGGCCAGAAGTCCAGCATCGAGGCGCTGGCAGGGCCATGAAGGCTCTAGGGGAGGACCTTCCTCGTCTCTTCTGGCTCCAGGCAGGGGGCTCCAGGCATTCCTTGGCTTGTGGCCCCATCGCTCCAGTGTCTGCCTCCATCTACCCAGGACTGACTTGCCATGTGTCCTGTCATCTTTGTATCATCTCCCCTCTTTTCATAAGGGACTGGGGTCTCTGGGTGGCTCAGATGGTTTGCACCTGGCTACTAAGCTAGGAGAAGGAGCCCTGGTGGCAGAGTAGTTAGGTGATTGACTGCCAACCAAAAGGTTGGTGATTCGAACCCACCAGCCACTCCACGGTAGAAAGATGAGGCAGTCTGCTTCCGTAAAGATTTCAACCTTGGAAACCCTATGGGACAGTTGTACTCTGTCCTGTAGGGTTGCTATGGGTCAGAATTGACTCAACGATCATATGTTTGGTTTTGGGGTTGGGTACTAACCTATAGATTAATGGCTAGAACCCACCCAGCCTTCAGTGTGGATTATACCTCAACAGAAAAGACAGGAATCTTCACAATTGGACCAATAAGCAACATCATGATAAATGGAGAAAAGGTTGACGTCACGGACTTCATTTTACTTGGCTTCACAATCAGTGCCCATGGAAGCTTTGTTGTTGTTGTGAGGTGCCATCGCATTGTCTCCGACTCATAGCGACCCCGTGCACAGCAGAGCGAAACACTGCCCAGTCCTGTGCCAGCCCCACAGTCCCTGCTATACCTGAGCCCATCATTGCAGCCACTGTGTCAACCCATCTTGTTGAGAGCCTTCCCCTCTTCCGTTCACCCTCCACCTTACCAAGCATGACATCCTTCTCCAGGGAATGGTCCCTTCTGACAACATGACCAAAGCAGGTGAGACGAAGTCTGGCCATTCTCGCTTCCAAGAAGCATTCCGGCTGCACTTCCTCCAGGACAGACCTGTTAGTTCTTTTAGCAGTCCATGGTACTTTCAGCATTCTTCACCAGCACCACAACTCAAAAGCACCAACTCTTCTTCAGTCTTCCTTATTCGTTGTCCAGCTCTCACATGCATACAAGGTGATTGAAAATACCATGGCTTGGGTCAGGCACATCCTAGTCTTCAAGAAGACGTCTTTGCTCTTCAGCACGTGAAAGAGGTCTTTTGCACCCAGTTTGCCCGGTGCTGTCTGTGGTATTGCACTGGGCAAATCTGCAGCACAAAACCACTTTGAAGTGTTCAAAAGCAAAGATGTCACTTTGAGGACCAAGGTGTTGCTGAACCAAGCCATGCTATTGTCAGTCCCTTCATCCGCATGCAAATGCTGGACAACGGATAAGGAAGATTGAAGGGGAACTGAGACACTTCATGATGTTGAAGAATCCTGTCTACACCATGGATGCCAGAAGAATGAACAAGTCTGTCTTGAAAAAAGTGCAACCAGAATGCTGTTTAGAAGTATGGGTGGTGAGACTGTCTCAAGTCTCGTACTTTGGACAAGTCATCAGGAGGGTCCTGGAGAAGGCCATCACGCCAGGTAAAGTCGAGGGTCAGTGAAAGAGTTAGGCCCTCACTGAGGTGGACTGACACAGTGGCTGCAACATTGGGCTCAAACAGCAGTGATTTGGGGGTGGTCCGGGCCCGGGCCGTGGTTCGTTATGTCGTACACGGGGTCACTGTGAGGCAGAACACACTCAGCAGCCCCCAGCAACAATGGTGGCCCCACGGAAGAAAGGCCTGGTGCTCTGTGTCCATAAAGATCACACCCAAGAACCCCTGCGGAGCTGTGCTGTCACACGGGGCTGCCAGGAGTCAGGGCTGACTCGACGTTCGGGTTTGGTTTCCACAGGACCCCAGTCACGCAGGCTTGGGGCTCGGGATACCCCAGTGTGACCTCAGGCTGACTGAACTGGTGACATTTCCAGAGACCCTTTTTCTGACCAAGTTCCTAAGGGCCACGTGTTGGGACATCAGCATCTTTTGGGGCCATCAGCCCATGACAGTCATGTGGGGGGGTGTCAGGGTGGATGCTCGGGGGTGAGTGTTCCAGGCGGAGGGAGGGCCGTGCTTGGGTGACAGGCACGGGGTACAAGGGGCCCCAGGCTGACCTCCCCTCCTGCCTTGTGTGCGGCCCCACAGACCCTGGAATCCAGGGCTGGCAGGGAGGCTCCTCAGCCCGCACTCTCCTTTCCGGGTCTGACGGGAGCATCTGGGAGCCGAGGCACCTCCCAGGCCCCTCTCCAGAGAGTCGCCTGGTGGGCATGGAGCCGGCAGGATGCTCTCCTGGGAGCCAGGGGTGAGCCCCCCGGCCCCCCGGGACCGACACCCGCTTTTCCGTCTGCAGGAGCTACAGCGAGCTCACCGACTGCACCAGAGAGGTGGCCGAGAGGCTCGAGTGCTTCTGGCCCAACCCTGAGGTGGACCGCTTCTTCGTCGCTGTCCACCAGCACTACTTCAGGAGCTGCCCGGTGTCCGGGCGCGCCGTGCGGGACCCGCCCAGCAGTGTCCTCTGCCCCTTCGTCGTGGTGCCCATCCTGGTGACGCTGCTTGTGACCTTACTCGTGGTCTGCCAGAGCAAGCGCAAGGAAGGCATCGTGTAGCGGCGGGGCTGTCCCCGGGCCAGGGCACCCTCGGCACCCAGAAGGAGGCCCCGGGGCGCACAGGGTCCCTCGTCCAGGCATTCATTCACCTTGAAGCCCCCTCCCTCAGGTGGAAGTGGCCCCAGAAGGGCAGCTGAGGTGTTTGAGGTCGCTGGACAGCACCGCCACTCATTTATGGGAAAGAGTCCTGAGCTCCCCTCTCCCAGGGCCTCCAAGCCACGGTGGCCAACAGCTCACCCTGGAGACTTGGAGGAATAGTTCGTGATTAAAAGGATACTCCTAAGTGTGCAAAGCCACTTCCTTTCTGGATAGCTGCATTGGGGCGTGGGGCTGGCGGACCGGTGGTAGAACCCTTGCCTTTCGTGCCCGAGACCGCGGTTCGATTCCCGCCCGGTGTTCATGAGGCAGGGGTGGCCACTAACACCCCCTCATGGGGAGTGGGGTGGGGGAGAACCAGCAGCTCCTTGAGACTCTGTTTTCTCTAGCAGGAATATCCACCCCAGCGGCCTGACGTGTGGTGAGGCCCCCGTGGGGTGAGGTGCTGTGTGAACAATGCAAGGGCCCCCATCTGATTCCGATCACCCCCCAGTCACACTGCACAGGCCTGAGGACTGGGCTCAGGTGCCTAAAGCCAGGTTCGCCTGGTTCACCAGGGTTCCTTCCTCAGGGAAGCTTCCACCCTCACAGGCCTCACAGATGCGTCCAAACCAAACTCTCATCGCCCTGGACCCTTCTCTGCACACTGGTGCCCCCTAAAAGCCCCCCTCCCACTTACGGCCTAGCTTCCCAGAGGGCTGCATCTGAAACGAACCCACAGTGGCCCCTCCAGGTATCCTCTGAGCTGCCCTGTTCTCAGGTCCCTGCAGCCCCCAGCCCTCCTACCCTGCACCCTGCTCTGCCCCACAGCCCCTCTCAGATGGCTGACTGGGGTGTCCTCCCCCCAGCTCCCTGAGGGCGGCCTCTTCCACCTCCTACAGCATGTCCCATCAGGACATTGAGGTGCACGGTAACCCCTTCTGGACAGTGCAGCTTCAACTCACCAACACATGAGGCCATCCCCCCACCCCCAGCCAAGCCCAGTGTGGCCCTGGCTACCACCCCCGCCCTCCTGGGGCATCTCCTTCCCTGGCCCCCCACCAGCTGCCCCCAAGGATGCACCCACACAGCAGAACTCAAGGAGCCTTGAAGCCTGGCTACCACCCCCGCCCTCCTGGGGCATCTCCTTCCCTGGCCCCCCACCAGCTGCCTCCAAGGATGCACCCACACAGCAGAACTCAAGGAGCCTTGAGTCTTATAGAGAAAGACGGCCCCACTGGCTGGTCAGGGTGCTCAGAGCATCTCCAGGAACCTTGGCTTCCCCAGAGAACAGGGTGCAGCCCTGCAGGAGGGTGGGGTCCCAGCCTGGGGGTGTGTCCTGTCTGTTGGGGAGCGGGGTGCGGCTCCTGACCGCTGGATTCCAGTGCCCACGTGGGGTCAGAGCCTGGAGATGGCCCCGTCCACAAATGTGTCATCGGGGACACAGCTGTGAGCAAAGGAGGAGCGAGGCACGCACAGGTGGGACCGTGTGAGGCCTGCTGCCGGGCCCCAGGACATCACACCTAGCTCTGGGGGCAGGACTGGCTCAGGGCCCCCAGCGCCCCCTCAGTCACAGGCAGGACAAGTGTGCCCATCAGGAGGGAAGGAGCTCAAAGCCAGCAGCGGGCCCTGGGTCACACGTCCCCTGCAGTGGAAGGTCTGCAAGGTCACCTGAAGTCACCAGGGAAGGTCCCGCACACACGCCCCTCGAGGGTTACGAGTGGGATGTTCTCAAAACACAGCTCTCCCAGCTAATGAGACTGGGGGGGTGGAGAATTTAAAGTATCGCTGTTTGACTTTGTAGCTGTGTTTCTGTATATGTGAAAAAGAGCTCTGGGAGCATAGTGATTAAACCATTAGGCTGCCAACCAAAAGGTCAGTGGCTCAAACCCACCAGCCACTACACAGGAGAAAGATGAAGCAGTCTAATTCCATGAAGACTGACAGCCTTGGAAACTCTCTGAGGCAGTTCTCCTCTGTCCTGTAGGGGAGCTGTGAGTCGGAATATCCTTGCCAGCAGTGGTTTTGGTTTGGGTTTTAAACACGAACCTGAGGAGCTCTGGTGATGCAGTGGTTAAAAAATGGTCAGTGGTTTGAAGCCACCGGCTGCTCTGCAGGAGAAAGATGACGCGGTCTGCTTCCATAAAGATCGGCAGCCTTGGAAACTCTCTGCATGACTTCCCCTCTGGCCGCTATGAGTTGGGATCGACTGGACAGCGGTCACTGTACATGGACCTGAGCTGGAAGTTTCCTTCAGGGACAGTCAGCTCTGCCAGGAAGGACTGGATCGGCCAGACAGCTTCCTGTGTCCCCCCCCCCGCCCCCGTCTTGTCACCGAGGGTCCCACCAGTTCACAGCCCACGGGTGTGAGGGTCACAGCCCTATCAGCATAACAGAGAGAGCCCTGTGCAAGCACCCCAGACACAGGGCTCAGGACCCCTAATCATATTCTGGGGGACATGGTCAATCCTCTCCCCAAGCCCCAGGGCAACCACTGCTCTTGGCCACATGTGTCCAGCATCACCTGTGGGGGTGGCACTACTCAGCTGAGGCTGTTGAGTGGACAGTGAGTGGCCTTTTAAAGGAAAATGAATTTCTACAATGACTTGCAAAATGTTCTTGGAAGCGCCGTTCTGGGCAGTCTCTCCGCTGAAGACGTGGGGTGTGACCCAGTGCTGTTGTAAGACAAGGTGGGCATCTGCCAGGGTCACACGGAATAGCGCTGGACACCACCAGCTGCGTTGGCAGGGGAGCAGTGGGCCTCCTCGAGCCCACCCTCCTTGGGGGGCCAATGTAAGGCGGGGAGGGCAGGGCAGCTATGGGCTCTCTCCCTCCCAAGGGGCACCGCTCGGGCCTCCCTTCCTCAACTGCCTACCTGTGCCATGTCCTCTCCTCTGTGGAGCCTCCACCTGGGAATTCTGAGAGAGCTCGCCACCTTGAAAACCCTCAGCTCTACTCTGACACGGGGTTGCCACGCGTCAGAATCAACATGACAGCAGCAACCACAAGATTGACTGGCCTCAGCTTTATCCAAAGGCTCTCTGGTGGCCCAGTGGTTAAGGCATTCGGCTGCTAACCAAGAGGTCAGTGGTTCAAACCCACCAGCCTCTCTGGGAGAAAGATGAGGCAGTCTGCTTCTGGAAAGATTTACAGCCTTAGACATCCTATGGGATAGTTCTGCTCTGTCCTACAGGGTCACTGAGTCAGAAGTGACTTGATGGTCATGGGTTTTGGTATCTCTGTCCAAACTGGAGAAACAGCCCCTTCTCCAGAACTTTGCTGTAGAAGTTGATAGAATGAAAATCAGTAGGAAATCAAAGAACCCCCCAACAAAATGCAAGAAAAAGAAAAAGTTTAGTCCTTGGGAGGTACAATTGGTGGAAAGCATGCTATTGTCCCAGGTCGCTCATAGTAACAAGCTACCAGGACAAGAGACCCTGGAGACAGGGTTCCTGGGAAGCCAAGAAGTGGTCCTGAGTGGAATTGACCTTCAAAGAAAGCCTGTCTGGCACCCAGCTTAGCAGGGAGCAGACGCCTGGACGCTGTAGGGCGGCCTGCGAACGCAGGATGAGCTGAGGGGCGTGTCACTCCTGGAAGACACGGCCTGGGCAAGAACTCGGGAGGCAGCTGGCCCCCTGTTCACCAAAAACGACAAGGGGGCCATCCTCCTGGAGGACCGTCAAGAGATACGTACCAGAAGCCTTAACATGTTTATTCCCAGTAATTTCGCTTCCAGGAATTTATTCCAAGGACACGACCAGAGACGTGCAAGGGCCTTGGGCGGCATGAACTTCACCAGAGTTATTTATAGAGCGAATGCGTGGAGGCAGCTCAGTGCCCAACTGAGAGAGCTGTTAAATTAGATTAAACCCAGATGATGGAAAAAAAGAGAACGTTTCCTAAAATTGAGTGCAAGAGAATTTTTCGGATAGTGTGGCGTTAACTGGAAAAAGCAGATTACAAAACAGGAAATCAAAATTATCTCAGTGGTGGTGAGTGTGTGTGTGTGAACACGTGTCCCAGGCCCCATGGGTGTGGGGGAGATGGCACTCTGTGGGTCAGACTACCTGCCACATCACAATTATGGGGACATCACCTCCTGTTCATGGAGGGCCACCTGCTGCCGTGGTGAGGAGTCCTGGTCAGGCTCAGGCTTATAAAAGAACAAAAGCCGTTGCTCCCAAGTCGATTCCGACTCATGGTGATCCCCTGTGTCCACCTGGTTGAAATGACTAGTTTTTCCAAAGTAGCTGGCCAAGCTGCAGGGCAACGGATGACTTTAATACGGCCCTTCTAGTCATGGTTTTCTGATGCCCACAAAAGGATTGGGTGGAACTACGCATATGAGGTGCTCGTGGCCCACCAACAAGATTGGACGCCTGCTACTGCTGCAAATAAGGTGCGTGGGAGCCCTGGGGGGTTTGTCAGTTTTGCAATCCCTCGGCTTATAGGAAGCCCATCTCAGAGGCAGGAGAGGGGACCTCACCACCAGCAAGGAGAAGAGCCAGGAGCAGTGAGTGTCCTTTGGACCCGGGGTCCCTGTGCTGAGAACCTCCTAGGCCTGGGAGATGAGCTGTAACCCGGAGACAGCACCCGGCGGCAGTGGCATGGGACTGGCAGGCCAGGCTTGCCAGTCCCCAGAGCAAGAGAGCAGAGAGCCTTCGGGCCAAGGCTTCCTGGTGGAGCGGCGTGCCTCCAGGCACTTGCTGGCAGAGCTAAGCTTCGTAACACTTGCCCGAGTTGGGTTGAGGGCCGACAGCTGAGAGCACCAGGCCCAGGCGGAAGTGAGGCCCCGCGGGAGCAGCTCAGAAGCCGTCTGGATGGAAGGACTGTGTCCTGAGTTGTGCTGTTAATTCCAAGTCAGTCTCGATCCTCAAGTGTAGCCTGTTACTTCCCTGATAGAGCCCCTAATCGCGTGTATGGTC